AGTTCGCATAGCAGGGCAAGCAAAGACAAATCCTAAAGGGGTTTTCAGTTATATCGAACAAAGATTAGGGAAAGGATAGGTCCATTGAAATCGAGACAGGTCATATAACTGATAATGACGAAGAGATGAGTATTATTTTTAATAAATATTTTATCTCTGTATCTACTAAAGAGGAACTTAACATTATGCCTTCAGACAAACAAGTCTATGTGGGTGAAGAAGAAGGTAGGTTCGCTAGTTTAGTAGATACCGGGGAGGATGTTATTAAACAAATAGTGAAACTGAAACCAAACAAATCCCCAGGGCCAGACGAAGTGTTTGCCAGGGTTCTTAAAGAATGCAAAGAGGAGCTTTGCGAGTCATTGTACCATACTTAACAAATCATTAGAGTCAGACAGAGAGCCTGAGTTGTGGAAGGCTCCTAATGTGGTACCAATTGATAAAAAAGAAGATAGATAGATCACTTGGGTCAAACTATCGGCCAATTAGCCTACCGTCTATTGTGGGAAATTTACTTAAATCGATAATTGCAAATACAATTATAAACACTGTCGTCTTCATCTTGAAATAACTTAATTAATAAATGATTCACAACATGATTTACATACGGCCGCTCATGTTTAACAATTTGCTATCTTTTTATTCCAGCATAGTTGAGGCTGTTGGTAGTTGTAAAGTTTGTGATGTTGTGTACTTTGACTTTAGCGAAGCTTTTGATACAGTACCACATGAAAGACTGATTAAAAGTCAGAGGCTCACGGTATTGCGGGTGCTACATTAGGTTGGATTAGGGCAGAGCTATACCAAAGGACACCCGGGTTAGTATAAATGGGGCTCGTTCAAGCACATTTTTCATATTTAAATGAAAAATAATTGCTTAGCATATATATATATATATATATATATATATATATATATATATATATATATATATATATATATATATATATATATATATATATATATATATTTTGCTAGAATGCTATTTAAATTGATTTTTGTTATTTTCTATATTTTTCCTTAAAATAGATATGTGTAATTTAATTGAATAGGTTCTATCCATTAATATGTATTTATCATGTGTCAGTAGCAAATAAAGGAACATAATTCACAGAGTTTGTGTGTGATTCATTACACATAGGCATACTGGCTCGCAATACAAAATGCTGCTCTTGCTGTGGGGCGCAGCCAAATAATTTGAAGTTTCAAAAATGCTGCTTTAGATGACCACAGGACACGGTAGTACCAGCCAGTGTACCTGGTGATGTCTTTGGTCCCTGTGGGGCTGTGGTCCGTGTCGTGTCCGGGGGTGTTAAAACACTCGCTATCCTAAGATGAACTGCTGTCATCTCCGTCTACCATCTGGCCAGGTGATGTGTAGTGGCCCGTCTTCACCACGTGCAGTGGACCCCTCATAACTATGTGTAGTGAGTGATTCTCATCATGATGTTTTGTGGTACTCATGACCATGTGTATTGATTCCTATGGCCATGTTCAATGGTTCTCATAGACTCTTCACATGAAAAATCTTCCTTAATCATCAAACTTTCTATTTGTGTATTTTATAAAAAAAGATTTATATGATTGATAAAAAGAACACATCATGATTAGTTAATTATATGAATGCATATCAACACAAGTCTTTACAATAAATTATGTTTTCTACTAAATTATATATTTGCAACCTGGTTAGAGACCGGGCCGCAGAGACCTTAATCCCCGGAACCAAGGCAGCACTAGAAATGCTAATGGTTAAGAAGACTATGCTTTATATTTGAACATTTGAAAACTTTCAATTGTTCATGACTTTATTAAAGTAAATTTTACTCTTTACCCCAACGACTAGTACAAACATATTAATTTAAAATAATGTTTTACATGATATGGCCTACAATTGCTTAAGGTTGTGAACTGCTTGCAAGTGATGCGTCCTCTTGCTTAAGTTAATAATCTTAAAAATACCTAGCAAATTACAGTAACAATACTTTTTACTCAGTAACTTGAGAAGATTGATCAACGTGATACATGTGTCAAATTGGTGAAGGGCAAGTGCATAGGGTTCTTATTAAGTGCATTACTTGAGTAGTGACAACTTTGCTCAGTCTGGGCTTTCCTGTATTCTTATTGGACCTAACTGCAGCGTATGAGAATCAGAATCTCACAAGTAAGATTACCAGGGATTAACAGCAGCTTCTGAAATTGGAAATAATTAATAAAACAAGAATTTTACAGTTTAATAAGCACATCTGAGTTTGAATTTCAAGGATAAATACACTAATAAAATACTTGGTTTCTATTTTTGTATTACTAGAATACAATCTTTGCAGTTTATACAACAGCATACTAATCAACATACAACAGTTTGTAGTTCTAACTTTATAATGATGACTTTTGCCAATAAAGTTTTGTTATTTTATACATACACATGTTATATCAAAGCATTTTTTCATCACAGATATTCCGTACACTCAGAATAACAATCATTTCACAAACACTGTGAATTCAATTTGAAATTGACAAATAAACTTTACAATGGAATTTAATACATAATATTTAAAAAAAATGTAATATTTTGTAAGATATTAAAACATGACCTGTGCCCTGAGAAACATGATGTATACATATATGTAAAAGAAAGATAAAGTACAGAATATTATTATTTTGTATCCTTGAAGTTAACATGAAACTCTAATCTCATCTGGTAATAATTGGGATAAATATTCGAGACGCCTACACAATTTAGTGATAAATCACTGAACATAAAATTATGATATACTAGTACCCTAATTAATTATTATATATATATATATATATATATATATATATATATATATATATATATATATATATATATATATATATATATATATATATATATATATATATGTTGTACCTAGTAGCCAGAACGTCTTACTCAGCTTACTATGCAAGACCAAATTTGCCTAATAAACCAAGTTTTCCTGAATATATATATTTTTTCTAATTTTCTTCTTATGAAATGATAGATCAATCTATTTCATTATGTATGAGTTCATTTGATTTAATTTGAGATAAAACTAACGTAGATATATGACCGAACCTAACCTACCCTACCTAACGTAACCTAACCTAACCTATCTTAACCTAGCCTAAACTAACATCACTAGGTCAATAATTTATGTTCCTGGTATAATATAATAATAATAATTCAGATTAACCAATTGGAAAAAATTTATGGAAAATAAAGAAAATCACTCGGCCTATTAGGCAAAAGGGCCTTGCATAGTAGGCCGAGAAGTGCGTTCTGGCTACTATGTACGACATATATATATATATATATATATATATATATATATATATATATATATATATATGTCGTACCTAGTAGCCAGAACGCACTTCTCAGCCTTCTATGCAAGGCCCGATTTGCCTAATAAGCCAAGTTTTCCTGAATTAATATATTTTCTCTAATTTTTTTCTTATGAAATGATAAAGCTACCCATTTCATAATATATATGATCAATTTTTTTTTATTGGAGTTAAAATTAAAGTAGATATATGACCAAACCTAACCAACCCTCCCTAACCTAACCTACCCTATCTTTATAGGTTAGGTTAGGTTAGGTAGCAGAAAAAGTTAGGTTAGGTTAGGTTAGGTAGATTAGGTAGTCGAAAAACAATTAATTCATGAAAATTTGGCTTATTTGGCAAATCGGGCCATACATAGTAGGCTGAGAAGTGCGTTCTGGCTACTAGGTACGACATATATATATATATATATATATATATATATATATATATATATGTGAGAAAGCTGCATAAACGCGCAAGCCATATATCACTAAGAATCCTGGCCGGGTCAAAGAGTTCTTAGTGATATATATATATATATATATATATATATATATATATATATATATATATATATATATATATATATATATATATTTTGTCGTACCTAATAGACAGAATGCACTACTTGGCCTAGTATGCAACAAGAGTGATTTTCGTTATTTTCAAAAAATAAATAAAATTGATTAATTTTAACTAATATTATTATATTACATTAAAAACAGGAATTACTTACTTAGTTATGTTAGGTTGGGTTACATTTTGATAGTTTAAGTAAGGTTAAGTTTGGTTATTTTTCTACATTAGTTTTAACTCAAATAAAAAGTTAATAATATCATATAATATATATATGTTGTACCTAGTAGCCAGAACGTCGTACTCGGCCTACTATGCAAGGCCCAATTTGCCTAATAAGCCAAGTTTTCCTAAATTTATATATTTTTCAATTTTTTTTCTTATGAAATGATAAATCTGGCTATTTCATTATGTATAAGTTAATTTCTTTAAATTTGAATTAAAACTAACATAGATATATGACCGATATATATATATATATATATATATATATATATATATATATATATATATATATATATATATATATATATATATATATACAATATATATATATATATATATATATATATATATATATATATATATATATATATATATATATATTATATATATATATATATATATATATATATATATATATATATATATATATATATATATATATATATATATATATATATATATATATATATATATATATACAGTATATAATATAATGGAATGTATGACTGTCGAAGATAGGTCAGATGATATGGGTTAGCCTCGCCTAAATTTCCAAGATGACAAATGAGTCACATGGTCCACTCTAGTGCCACATTACAAGAAATACTGGCATCTATAGTGACCCCACCTCCCCGGTGATTTTTATGAGGTCCGAAATTGTGGAGTTTTATCAGCTTTTCAGTTCTTCATAATAGTTAATTTTCTGAGAGAAAGAGAGTGGGGAGGAGAGGAGTGATATTATGGAAGAGGGGAGAGAAATGCAAAGAAGGTGGGAAAAGGGGAAGGGATAGGGAGAGAGGAGAAAAGGGTGTTGAGGGAAGAGAAGTGACAGTGATGGAGAGATGGGTGTTGGGCAAAGAGAGACCTGGAAACAGTGAGTGTCCCATCTAGTGTATGGCAAGTATTTGAACAAAAACTCTTTAAAAAGAACACAGGTCGCACTGCTTAGAATTTACAAGACAATGAGTTTACAAAACAAAACAATCTTTGGTTTACTAAAGATATTTCCAATACAATGCATTTAATGAATTTAGTGTTTTAATTTTGTGTCCTTCTTAAGTTCATGCTCGTAAATGTTTGAACAAGACTGCTCTAATCCTAAGGAATTATAAACAATACCCAAGTTCTATTGCAGTCAATTTTAACAAATATTGCATTAATGAAAAATCTGCAAAAATATTATTATTATTATTGTGTTAGCTGCTTATTATGTATTCATTTGTAGCGAAAATTTCTGCCTTATTCATGTCACTTTAAATGGTTTATGTTTTAGATATACAGTATATTATAGTATTATGTACATTTTTTAAGTTTATTTTTTATGTTTATCACTACTATTTTAATCCAAGTTCCATTTTTCAGCTTAGAAAATACAGCTCTACCAGCTCTGTTTTTGTGGCTGAATTTACATTTTATATGTTTTTAATAGTTTTATTTTTTACAAGAAAGATTGACAAAATTTACTTATTAAATAATTATTGGATAAAATTTACGAAATCAGAAATGCTGATTATTCCACTGGTCTCTATCTGTTCAGGATAACATATACTAATAATAATTTATTGTGTTGGGGGACAGGCAGCCAGAGTGTATTCATACACGTTAGGATTATATAGAGGCCCTTCCCCCCTCAAGGTCGAATTACTAACCCTGCCCAGGGTGCAACCCCACAACAAGCTGGCTAACTCCTGAGTACCTACTTACTGCTAGGTGAACAAGGGCATTAGATGATTGGAAATGCGGCCAACCATTTCTGTCCCGCCAGGGATTTGAACCCGGAATTCTCGATTGTGAGTAAAGAACGAACCAGACTGTACTACCGGGACCCCACATATTTCATCTATAAACACTCATGGATCAATTATACTGCATATGATTAAAAAAACAATATATACACTGCTTTATGCCTCCTCTGAAACGATCATTACAGATAACTTTGATGAACATAAATGGCTCCCAGATTTGAAGTTGCATATAAGGTGGAATTAGGTAATTAAACTTAAATTCAAATTAACATAAATTATTTTATGAAAATGCTTTAATTATATAGTAATTTAAACTGCCAGACACTTATAAAATAGTAGTGAACATAAAAATCAATAAATTATTTAGAGTACTGAAAATGAAGGTGATACAAAAATCTTTATACAAACAACGTTTGCTAAGCATTAACCCTAAGTAAACCCTATAGTTAGGCTTCTTACAGCTTAACTATAGGGTTTACTTGGTGCTTTTAAGCTGTGAAATGGCAGTTCACAAATTCATCATCTACTTAATTGTGAATGATCTTTGCGAGTTGTGACATCTATCTCCCGTTGGTATGTGCTGTGGGAAGTACCTATAAGTGTGTGCAACCGTAACTGTCTATGTTTTACTAAAATGAAGAGTGGAGCAAGAAATACCTGTCTGATCACACCAAAACTTGTTGCCAAAATGGATGTCTCCATATGGTCCTAACTCAACATAGAGCATCAAGGAGAGTAACAAAGAATTCATACCATTATTTCTTCAAATATTTGTTCATTGGACAAAATCTGTGATGCCATTTACAGAGGACCTAACTTTAGCTCTACACTAAGATCCTCGATATTAAGAGAAGTACAATACAGTATACTCTTATATCCAGCTTTTTCTGCAAATGGCACTTTCACTATACAGACTCACAGTCTACATTACTAAGCACAATTTGAACTTGCTTTTTTACAAGGCAGATTTTTGTTCACTTAAAAGCAGAAGTGAGAGCATCAACACTGCTTATCTATGTACATATTATGCTACAGTTGTGAATATTACCACCATTTGCACTAAAAACGTCTGTGAGTATGCAACATTCTGAGTGCTAGCTCAGAACCCAAGCAAATATATATTTAGTTGAATCAGGGGAAAGTAACTAAAACTTTAATAATATATTTTTATATTTATAAAGTAAACAAAATGAAAACTAGTTCCAAGTTATAGTTACTTTCCAGTGATTCGCATTTTATAAAGAAACAACACTCAAGAAATACAGGCCTAAAATGTGTAAAATACTGTGCTTACAAATATGTACTATGAAGGCTGATATTTATTGTGATATATTAAATTTTCCAGATAGTAATGTTTAGCTTGTGTTAGGTTTTGCAGTTCAGACCTATATCTCAAGTGGTGTTCAAGGACAAACAATAAAGACACCAAGGGCTTAGAATCTGTTTAACAGGTGCAAAAGGCAGTGTGGAACTTTACAGCAAACTTGCTTCATCCACTGACTGTATAAGGCAGAGGCTTAACCAAAATCACTTTTAATAATACAAATTCACATTTTTGTTAGTTTTTCTAACGTGCAGCATTTATTTTGATCTCATTTGCATAATAATAATAATAATAATAATAATAATAATAATAATAATAATAATAATAATAATACACATAACTACAATGCATCATAAATGTTGTAACAAATAGTGCACTTAAACAATTGTTCAACTGGAAGAGTAGCTGTTGAACCTTATGTGTCCTCACCAAGAGCCTCATTGATTCTCATGGTTTGATCATATATAATTACACGTACAAAATCGTAACAAATTTCGGTGCACTAACTTTCATGAATAATACTGAATTAGATCATTGTTTCACAATACTGATAAATTTATTTTTAGTTCACTTAAAGTAATGATATCAATAATAATTGGTTCATGGAGAATAAATTTTGAAACGTAGTTTAGTCCGCAGGATACTCGCCATTCTGAAGTTTGTTTAGAAGAGTTTGATCAGGATCAAGAGTGCTGTTGCTAACCCCAAGCAAGACATCACAGAGTTACCAGAATTGCAATTGTCCTCGTTACAGTGACAGTAGGTTACCATGACGTCCTTGGTGCCAGTCCTTGTGTAACAGCTGCCAACTGGTGCCTTCTTCTCCTCGACCCACCCGCAGCCTCGTACAGTCCGAACTTCAGTTTCAACTGCCGGACATAAGTGTAGTTATTATATCTTTGGAAGAGCGAAAAATTACAAGACTTAAACCGAATTTATCATAATGTATCTCAATTGAGAAGATCAAAGAAGACCTTAGAAGATCAAATGAACATTCTAATTTAAAAAATTAATGGCATTTTAGGGCCTTTCGTGCAGTGGGCTTCATTCTCAACTTACTCAGGGATCCCGGGTTTGATTCCCTGGTGGGACAGAAATTGGTGGCTGTAATGGGGCCAGCCTTTAACTTCACTTAACCTCGTTAAATGCTGGTCGTTAATTAATTGTTCTTATTTCCCAAAATTCTTAAGGTAACCTTCCATATAACTCCTCGAACCTAAAGTATTTGATCACCTAGATATCACGACACGAGGACACTGTACCTTCTCTGCTACTCTGTAAACTCCGAGAGGTTACCACCTGACTTCCAAAAACCCGATGAATAATTCTCCCCCCCCCCCCCCCAATTGATGGTGAAGCAAGAAACAGTCAATTAGACATAAATCCCTGAATGTGGCTCCCCAATTGTGAATAGGAGAATTGAATTTACGTTAAGTGTGGTCTAAATCAAAATACAATGGGTTTATGTGAGGTATTAGATAATTGTGGTTGCCTGCAAGACTGTATGGGCGCCTAGCACAAAGCATATAAAATGGAGAAACTCACTAAAGACAAATTTTGAATCACAAGTTTGAAATAAAAGATATAGATTTTACAAAGAATGAGCACTCCCTAACTGAACACTTCCTATCCAAGGTAAATGAGTAAGATTTATCATCCTACTAGTACTAGAACTCATAGACCTTTTTTTTTACCTTAAACTAAGCCAGGGCAGTTGGAATGCCTGTTTCTAGGTGAGGGGTCCTGACCCTACGATGTTCACAGCCACACTGACCTTTTTCCTCTCTCATCTGTGAAGCTGACCTTGGATTACCCCACAATCCTACTGACTGCCCGAACTATTAATCCGGATTAAGTGAAAAAGCTACTCCCATACGCTACACTGGCCTCTAAGTGTGGCTGAATTACTATTGAAACTGAAGATAATTATGTTACAGAGTATTTCCAATTACAATATTGAATAGTAGCCTGAATTTATATTTTATGAACTAACAAACACGGAGGTCGTGATATTCTCGACCCCTGACTTCCTTGACCCAGAATGAGTCAGAGGCCAGCTGAGCCAGATCAACTAGTCCCCTATTCTAAATGAAGTCAACTGTCTCTTCGACAACATACAAGACAAATATTGATAAACAAGACTGATTAATACTACCGTTACTTTAATAACTGAATTATCCTGAGGTGATGAATTACGCTCACAGAAGACATATGACAATGTAGACTGAATCCCCCCCCCCCTGGCTAATCTCTATTGGGACAACTTTTAGTGGCAACATAGTTAAAAGTTCCCTCTGACTTCACCAACGAGGTTATCCCAGGTATACAATACCAGACATATCATTTATATCCACAGCTTTTCTGTAAATCGTATAATCAAAGGTCTATTTCCAGAGTGCAACTCCATAGTCTCCTGAGACTGATTAATGCCTACTACTACTATAAGCTTTTAAACTAACTTAGCTTGTTACAACCCCCCCCCCCCCCTTCGCTCAAGTATTTAAGAAACATTGTTTTAACTAAGTTGCCACGATGTTTCTTATCCAAATCCATCACTTTATAATACAAAAACAAATTAACCAATGCCTCAAAAAAATATACCCTAACTATAAATAATTACAATCAGTATATTGCATCACAATAACCATAACAAAATACAGATCCCAGCATTTGAATCTGGACTGTCAGGCTGACAGTCCAGCAATTACCCACTGCATCAGAAATAAAACATTCTATACCCTGACTTGATATAACTAAATGCACTATCCCTAATCTTTCCGTAAAATCTAACTAACAAAAAGCATTGGCTTTTCTTCTGCCAATCACGTGTTGTCCTCTGAAATATGAAACACCACAAATTCAAATACATAAACTGAAATTTAAATCTTACAAGAGAGGAACACTGAACTCCTCAAAGTTTATCCACGTGTTCCGCTCACATCTTTATTCAAAATCAATGTCCATATGACATTCTCTCAACTTAAAACAATAAAACACAATATTTTATTTGTTTATCAATACTACATCTAATATCACAGTTCTATATGTTTATCTCTCAGAATGTTCGGTAATATGTTTATTGTTTGAGATATATGTCTATGTAGGGAGCCGGTCGGCCGAGCGGACAGCACGCTGGACTTGTGATCCTGTGGTCCTGGGTTCGATCCCAGGCGCCGGCAAGAAACAATGGGCAGAGTTTCTTTCACCCTATGCCCCTGTTACCTAGCAGTAAAATAGGTACCTGGGTGTTAGTCAGCTGTCACGGGCTGCTTCCTGGGGGTGGAGGCCTGGTCGCGGACCGGGCCGCGGGGACACTAAAGCCCCGAAATCATCTCAAGATAACCTCAAGATGTATATATTAACACGATGTACTGAACGGGGTGAGAATAGCTTGAGCTACCTCATCCCTTTGTGTGTATTTTACCTCAATAAACTTATTTCAATTTCAATTTCAATTCAATTTCGCTGAGTACACAGCAAAAATGTACATTCACCCCCAGCTAAGAGTGTCAATTGTTTTTATTTGGTCCGCCCCTCTGTTACGAATCCATATATTTGATTCTAACATCCATCATGATAAATATGTATGTCAATTATTTTCTTTCCTCAGTTATTTAAATAAAACATCGTATCCAGTTATGTTCCAGTATATATATGTTTAATTTAAATGTAGCATGCTTTAGTGTGCCTGTATTGAATATTTGTTTAGGCTATTGCATGTTCTTTCCTGTGAGGGAAGACAGTGGCGTCTAATGGGGGGATGACCATATTTTGGGATGTTCCAGTAATGCGTGCAGTGTATCCAGCTAGCGTCACTGATTCACTCTTGTAATTATTCCTGTTCATTGATTGTACTTAATTTGTTATTTACACCTTAGCAGTGTTATATACATATAAGTTAGTTATATTTATATTCTTCAGTATTACTCTCTAATAGCGGAGTATCTAGAGGTTTCATGTGGGCTTTTTAATTGGTAACTTGTAGACGCCACGCCGTGCATGCTCGAGCAACGAAGTCGAGTGGGTGGAAGTGGCTGGCGTGGACTTGTTGTGGAGTTAAGTCTGTGGTCTTGATTATTGTTTAGTAACATAGTTGATTTCCTGGTTAGACCATTATGTGCATACCCATCTATCCATTTATGTTGTAATATATTGATCAGTGCTTGTATAATGATATTGTGTTGTATTCTGATGCATTAATATTTCTGGTTGCTTGTATTTCCATTTATATATTTGTATGTTCTTTGTTACCCTTACTTTAAGTATATTGCTTTGTTAAATAAGCAGTGGATTCATTTACCCTAAATATTTAAGTAGGCAAGGCCGTATTATCATATATTTTTAACCACTGCAACAGAGGAACCATACCCAGAGGTCAAGGGACGTAACACCCTCTCATTCTCATTAAACATTAAGCAAGGACCTGGTATCAAGTACCATATCGAGAACCTCTGTTCTAGGCACAACGTCATGATTTTTATACTAGATATGATGGCTAAGTAATATGCAGGAATTTTTATTAAACTCTTGAACTGTCCTAATATAAAGTTAAACGATTCCTGTACCTATCACGATTTACTGTTCCACGTTCTATATTGTTTGATATCCTTCTCTCTCTCCCCGCCCGCCACCCAAATGAAGAGCTTTTCAACAACGTATCTCACAAAGCGAAAGTACTGAAAAAACAAACCCAGAGTTGAAAGTAATGAAATGTCTCTTTCTGGATGAGTCCAGAAGGACTCCAGTTCTGGATGAGTCCAGAAGGACTCCAGTTCTGGATGAGTCCAGAAGGGCTCCAGTTC